ACCACCTGATAACTGTGTGCCTTTCAAACCAATAGGAGTATCATAACCCTGATAACAAAGAGAAAGAAAGAAAATGTTAAGAAAGAAAAACTAGATTAAAATTATTTATGTTACCTGAGGAAGTGTTTCAATAAAACTATGAATATTAGCTTTAGTAGCTGCAGTTATTATTTCATGTAATGAGACTTCATGTGAATGATCACCATAAGCTATATTTTCTCTTATTGATAAATCAAATAATACTGGTTCTTGACTAATCAGTCCAATTTGTGATCGAAACCATTGCAAATTTAATTCACGAATATCTGTACCGTTAACAAGCTAAAAATAACAACTATAAAAGACGCTTTCATTCAACTTCACCAAGGAAAAACACTACGAACGTCGAATTTTTTCACTGATTAACATTTACTATTGAAAAGGAAAAGACTGTAAACAGTCCGTGGGAAACACAACAAATAGAAACATTGTGTGAAATGCCGGTTTATGATCAGACTTGACGAAAACTGCAACCATTAACATAACCACAGAGTCTTTACCGAGATAAGGGGCAATCCTATGCCTTTCCTACTAGGATACTAATAAAATCAGAAAATATCCGAAAGTTCCGAGATTTCGCCAGGATTCTGCTAGGATCCTAAAAAGTTCTTAGTAGAATCTTAGATGTTAGGATCCTACTAGGATTTCGCGTAGGTTTGTTTAAAATCTTAACACGATTCTTGCGAATCCTATGACTTTCGGGTATCTCTGATTACATTATCTTTAGTCAATGTTGTACAGTGGCTGCAAAAACCAGTGTTTTGATCATAATTTTGTGACTAAGATGTTTTCTAAAATTGTGAAACTACTAGGAGATTGTCCGTTGGGTCTCTTGTCTGTGGTAAAATGTTGAAATCACCAGGCCTTTTGCATCTAGACTTATGGCTATAATAATAGAGCCTGTATTTCGACTGTAACATTTTTTCGTCTAATACTAGGACTGAACGATTTTCTTTTTCTTGAAAGAATTGCCATCAAATTTTCTGCAAAGTGATGTCTTTTATTTATGAAAGAACAGCTCCATCGGTTTCCAAAAGGCGATACAATCGTTTCGTAAAATCATTAGCACTTTCTAAAATAACTTCTTCTCTCTTTTTTT